ATATGTACTAGCAATATAGCTTATTTGACAATTTTTGTTTAGGAGGAAATTGTAAATACCTCTTTATTTAAACTGTACCCTAGTCTTATCAGATAAAAATCCTAATTAGATACACGTTTTTGTTTGTATAAAAAACTTTGATTTTAATTTAGGTATATATTGATAGCGGTGTTAGATAAAAAAAATAGAAAGGATTAAGGTTACCAAATTATTTATGACTGCTTTATTTTCTTGAGGTACTGACCAATAGAGTAATTTCTTTAAACTTATATATAATGAAACTATAGGATTGCTAATATAATAAATAACTAAATAATTCCTGACTCAATTTTTTGTTACCCAAATAAATATATAGTGTTGTAATTTTTAAAGGGTTCTATTTCCCAACGGAAGAGAGCTTTCGTTTGATTTGCCAGGATGAGGAACAATTAATTATGATATGTTAAGATTTACTAGACCTGCCCTTGCCGTTTGCCATTGAATTATGGGATAGAATCAAAAATCGATCATTTTCATTCCAAAAAAGTATTAATTTCAATTCGGAAAGATTTCCTATGTTAGTTTTTATTTAGAATAATAAATCTGCATACTCAATTTAAAGTTTAAGAACAATACAATTGTTACCCATTTTTGACAATTTTAGCGATACAATTTTCAAAATTTTCTCAAATTTTGAAAAATAGATAAGGGGTTAATCTATTTTTCAAAATTTGAGAAAATTTTGAAAATTGTATTTTTTGTTTGGAGATGACTTAATCGACGCGGCTGTTGATGCTGATCAAAAATTTATAGGGTCAGAAATGACTCCTTCACTATTTTTGAAACATCTGACTATAATGATAATACCATTCTTTGGGTCGATATTATGTACAAATATTTTTATATGACAATTTTTTTAACAAATTAATTCTTAAGAAACTCATAACTGAGACAAAAAAGAATTCATCTTAATTCGGAAATCAGCCCTATGTTAGTTTTGATTCGGTTAACAAATCTGCATAATCAATTTAAAATTAAAAAAAGTATGATTTTTATCAATTTTTTTAAAATTAACAATGTAACCCCTTATAAAATTTTAAAAATCTTACCAAATAATTGATTTTTTCTGACATGGATAGATCGACTGGGCTGTTCATGCTCATCAAAAATATATATGATTTATAGGGCCGGAAATGACTCCTTCACAGCGATAAGATTTGCTGACTGAAATTAAAATACCCTGGAAAGGGTATAAAATATTCAGTTTTTAAATAAACATCAAAGATTCACTTAATAAAATCTTCCAAAATCGTCTTCTAAAATATTTTAAAACCATTATAACCATTATTATACTACAGTTGTATTATATATTCTATATAGCTGTACAATAGTTGCGGCATTTAGTTCGTATAGGAACAAATGTCATTGTAGAATACCTTTTTAGGGAATTCTTACCCCTTTGCAGGAGTTGAAAATGGCAATGGTGGCAACTCCATATTATTAGCATTCAGCATGGCCGCGTGATAGCAATTATTGTCACACTTGCGTAAGCACTCTGGCGAAAAACATGGGCGAAATATTTAATAAATCCATTAAGTTGGCAAAGTACTCGCTGTATGTGTACATATGTAATTATATAAATTATGCAAAGTACATATTTATAAATAAGCTCATTGTGAAAACGCCTGACAATGCCAGACGAGACTGCCTGCTTTTGGCGGTAATTTGATTAAATTATAACATGTAATTTTACGGACTGATTGAATTTCTGTAGGTATTTAAGCTCGTTAATAGTTAATCAGAAGTGCTACCGAAACCATATTCATACATGTCCCACTTGCATTAACATTACAATGCCAGTTAAGCTCCGCCCCATCAAGCGTACTCCGGCAAATGGCCAATCCCCGTCCTAGGTTTCTTCATTGTTCCTATAGACAAGCAAAGGGAGCGAGATATCCGATAGCGTTGTCGTCGTCGTCGTCATGCCATCCCTCTCCGGTGGTTACTGTCGAACCGAACCCATGCCCATTGCCATTGCCATTGCTATACTCATTCCCATTCCCATTCCCATTCCCACTCCCAAGCCCAACGAAGCTTGAGCCCAAAACCCACACCCAATCCCATTACCAGTCCTCTCCTGGCTCACTTGCTCTTAGTCTCTCTCTCACTCTCTCTCTCTGGGACGCCCTTCGAGCTCTCGGAGCTGCGCCGGCTCAGCGGCGGCACATCGCTGTTAACCTTCGCTCACCGAGCACCTAATTATCGCTATGAACGGCACAATTATGGCCAAATGCGATTGTTATTTATAAACAGATAAATAAATTCTTAATTTACTACGATGTCCGTTTGTTACGGGTAATTTTTTAATGGTTTCACTGGCATATTGTTACCTTACCCACGGATACTTAATTGTTTGCTTCTAAATAATATGCACCTCATAGAGTTTTTTTAATAAGATAATTATTGGGTATGGTGAGACAGAATTTCGATTAAAATATATTCAAATATATATATATATATATATATATATATATATGTACACATATAGTTGTACATTCACAATCAACCGCTAAAGCAATTATTTGTCTTAGCTTCGCCATCAAGCTCTTATTGATTTAGTATTGAGCATAGGAGGCGGAATACCTAATAACGAGTAGTTGGGATAAAGATACACCTTGTCTAGACATTATTACTGGGATGTCGTGATACCCGACCGCTATTAATTAACACTTGGAAATGAGAAGAATGCCGACTCATTAATAGTTAATGCGATTTAATACACCCATCCACACACTCCTAGTTTGCGATTTGCTGGCCTATCAGGGGCACTATTAAAGACAATTATCCATCCTAGTGTTAAATCGTCTCTCGCCAGCCCGCAGTAGTAGTGCAGTCAAAAAGCAAAACCGAACGCTAACCGAAACCCAAACCCAAACCCAGGCCCAAGCCCCATTTGCCAGAGCAAGACCCAAACCCACACGTTCGCCGAATGCGGTGGCAATGTGCTTTGGCTTTTACGTTCTGTGGAATCATGGCCGAGTCCCAAGCAGGCAAATTAACTAACAAGATTATGAAAACGTAAAATCAGTAAATCGGTAAAGTGGTTGTAATTTTCTTTTTCAACACCTCTCTCGCATTGGGCCGTTAGCCAGAGCCAGAGCCAGAGCCAAAGCCAGAGCCCAAGCCGAGCCGCGGCCAGAGTCCCAGCCATGGCCAGAACCAGCTGCCGGGGCGGCTGCTCTTTTGTCCGGATCGGAGCGAGGAGTGGAGCGGAGCTGGCTGAGGCGACGGCCAAAAGCAAAGGTAAAGCTAAATAAAACCCGACAAGATACTCCCCTGATACACCTAGAAAAATTTATAGCCAAAGCAAGCTTATAATATCCGAGTTTGCTTTTGAGATTTAAATAGAAAAATGAGTTTAAATCTTCAAAGCCTATATTTGGGAATTGAAGAATTAGAAGAGACATTATTAGGGATTTCCTTGGAAATATGAGATTCCAATTCCCAAGTTTGTATTTAGTATTTAAGTAGCAAATGTAGCTTAAAATTTACAAGGTTGTGTAAGCAAATAAAATAAAAAAAGGGTGCTTATAATTCCCAGGTAGGTATTTTCAAGATTATATTTGAAATTTAAGTAAGAATATGAACTTATAACTCCCTTATTTGTATTCGTTGTTTAACAACTGGAAAGTGAGTTTATAATTATGTTAGAATTTGAGAGTCAACTTGAAAAATAAGCTTATAATTTGCAGGTTTGTATTCAAAGAACGTTTGCTTTATGGCTAATAAGAACATAGAACATAAATAGAACATCTATTAAAGCTAAAATGATACCAATTAATAATATTAATTTAGAAACATATTAAACCTATCAAGCAGGAAAAGATTCCGGAGAAGGCTTTTAGCAAAAGGACATATAATTCCCAAAATAAATAGCATACTTTTTGGGCAGGTGCTACAAGAGTAAGTTCTTTACATTCTAGTCAATATAAACATCATAGTTGAGAGGTAAAGTATATAACTTAGTGTTTAGAAATCCCTCAAATATAACTAAATAAAATATAGAAAAGTATACTTTGATAAAAGAATAGCGCTCACCATTAATTCTACCCCCCTTTGGAGGGCGCTTTCTTGCCGTGTAGTTTTACCTCAACCACCGGCGGGGCATTAGCTCTTCGCCAGAGCGCGGCGTAGTGCGGTCTGGTCAGACTGGTTTATTCGTTTAGTAAATCTCAGACTCTTTGCTTTGGCTCTCCGCTCCGCTTTGAAGTTTCGCCGTGGCGGAGGGATGATGCATGTTCGCATCGCGGTGATTGGGAGAGAGCACGGGGGCAATGATGTGAGTGATTATATTTTGATTGCATTGCTCACTGTGGTTGGTTGTACGGTGGTGGACGGGACGGCATTGCTCACTTAGTACAATAACCGGCACGTCGTCTGCCAGTCTGCTGAAACAGTAATTTTTTGTGTGCCGTGTTCTTCGTTTGTTGTCGTTTGTTTTGTTCCCTCTCTATCGCTATCTTCGCCTTCGCCTTTGCCTCGAATCCACTCCAGCTACAGCTCCAGCTCGAGCTCGAGCTCCTACTCCGGCTGCGCTGCGCTGCGCTGCTCGATGGTGCTCTGCTGCCACTACCACTCACGTATTCGCATTCAGCTTTTGATGGTAATTTGCCAGGCCGGGGAAACCTCAGTGAGAGTGCTTTTACATCCAGTGTCGTCGCCGGACCGGAGCTTATAACGAGCGTAGTTCTTGTGCAGAGTTTATTGCCGACAGTTCGCGCGATCTCGTTTGCCGTCGCTATCGTGGTCGTATCGGCCATCATGTCGTATCGCCAGCGTAGCTCCCAGGCGGGTTTGCTTCCTGCGCCGGAACTCTCTGCACTCCGCCTCCGTCAATTAATTTAGGCTATTTACCGATGCTAAATGAGAATAAGAATTTAATTAATGCGTGTGATTGGATTAATACGTGTAATACAATACATACGTACCTGTGTGATGCACTGCAGCACTGAGTCCTGCCAAGTGATGATGTGTCCCCACAAGTGAACACTGTCCACTGTGTAATAATGCCAAGGCCCTCGCGCGAATCCTACGGCGAACAGAAGCCCCCTACTCGTACATATCGCTCACCGCGATGGCCATCTGGAGTTCGCCGGAGAAAATGCTGCCGCTTAGCGATATCTACAAGTTCATCACGGACCGCTTCCCGTACTACCGGAAGAACACGCAGCGGTGGCAAAACTCGCTGCGGCACAACCTCAGCTTCAACGACTGCTTCATCAAGGTTCCCCGGCGGCCGGATAGACCCGGCAAGGGTGCCTACTGGGCCCTGCATCCGCAGGCCTTCGATATGTTCGAGAACGGGAGCCTGCTCCGCCGGCGGAAGCGCTTCAAGCTGCACAAGAACGACAAGGATCTGCTCAACGAGGAGCTAACCGCTTTGGCCAACCTGAATCGTTTCTTCTTCACCACACGGAACGGTGGCAGTGCCTCGCATATGGCTCCCCTGGACATGAACAGTGCGTCCATGAGGCTGGATCCACTGCCAAGGACACCCAATCAGAACCACATACCCCCTAATGCCCTGGGCCAGGGTGTTGGTCTGCCCGCGCATGTGATGCCCAGCTCCATGGCCAATGCGGAGCACACGAATCTCTCGGACATGGGACTGTCCAATCTGCCCTCGCTAACCAGTTCCGATATGGAGCTGCGACCCAAGCGATCCTTTACGATAGAGAGTCTGATCACGCCCGACAAGCCGGAGCATCACTCCGACGATGAGGACGACGAGGATGATCGCGTGGACATCGATGTGGTGGAGTGCAGCGGGATAGCCAGATATCCAACCACACCCGCCTCCGCCTCCGAGGACTACATGTCCGCCAGTCGATCGAGCCGCGCCGAGGATCCCCTGCCACCGCTGCATACGATCAATGCCGGTGCGCATGTGCCCTTCCTGCACTACGCGACGGGTGCCAATGTGGCCGGACTGCAGGCTTCGGGGATCCATGGTAGTCCCACCACCTACGAGCTGGCTATATCCCATCCGCTGTTCATGATGGCGGCGCCCATCGCCAACATGCACAACATCTACTACAATAATGTCACTCTTGTGGCTCCGGCGCAGCAATATCGGACACCCGAGGTCCAAACTAGAATAGACAACGACATGCGTACGATATAGATTATGTATAGAGCATTATTTCCGAACGATATCTATGTATATCCATCCAAACGTAGTTCCTTTCGCATTAAGGTTAATTGTAATAGGACCAAAACATATGGCATACCTAGGCGTAGTGGGCATGTAAATAAAGGCTTGTTATACAGATTTTAATAGCTTCTATTTAACATATCCGTACTAGTAAATTATTTATTTTATTTGTATCTAAACCTAGTGCGTAGATCGATCATTTTGTGAAGAATATAAACATTTAAATAACTGAACAACATAGTGTTTTTGATTCTACTGAGTTTTTTCAAATTGTCAGATCATCAGAGGTAAAAGAAGTAATTGAGCTTCAGTGAGCCCCATGGCAATTAATTATCTAACAAAAAAGATATAATGGTCAACAAATACCTAACATTTTCAGATCATACAAAAGTGGAGCTTTAAAAAGATTATATTTGCAAAATAGGTGATACCTAAATCTGAACAATCTTGAGATTGTAATCATTTTAATATTTATTTATGATTGAAACTTATGGTATCATAATTTATATCAACAATTTTTAAACAGTTATTCGGTGGATAAATGAGACTGTAAAAATTAGTTTTTTTTAGCCAGAAATTTAGAACACACATTATTAAACGATTGATCAAATTCTGTATACTGATATTAGCAATGGCGACCATCGCTAGATGTCACATAAAAAGAATATGGCTGAAAAGTTTGGCAACCTCTTAAAATGATTTTTCTTGATCAAACCACAACCTGTTTTTTTGGTTTACAATTTTAAACTTCTTTAAAATTAAAATATTTTACTCCCAAAGACAGAGATAATTTATTAAATTATAAAAAAAAGCGTAATATTTAATAAATTCGATCAGATCATTGCTATTTTTATTATTGATTATAATTACTATTGATTTATTTATTTGATTAAGTAAGACTTAACAGGCTACTAAAAAAGGTTAAGCTTTAATATCTTGATAATAATATAGCCTGAATAGGTACAACAAATAGTATTCAAATATTTAAAACTTTTGATTGTCATTTCGGAGGAGCAAATCATGATAAAAAGTTATAGGAAGTTATTATTTATATTCTATATAAATTTGCAGCATGTTTCTGTTTTAAATTTATTTGTTATCAATGTGTCAACACCAATTAATACTAATCCCTATACACACACATATGGCAAACTTTACTCTACAAAACCGGAAGTAAACGGAAACTTGCGTGACAGATCTTTAGTTCTTCTCAAAGATCTAGGTGTTCATACTTACAGACACTGTGCATTTAGTAATTCATGTCTTGTAAATCGTCAGTTCACACATTTATACCCTGGCAGAAGATAATATAATATTAACCACCGAAGCGAAAGAACCTTGTGTACATACATATATTCTTGATTCTTGGTCATAGGCGACTATTATATCTCTCAGTTGTAGGAGCTATCCGATATTATATGTATAAGTCGGAACGAACCGGTTCAGGTTAAGGAAATGTTCAAATTTTCTTGTTTTAAACATGTTTACATTTTCTTCAACTCCAACTAATACAAATTCAGATTTTATATTTATCAAACAAGGACAAAGATATCAAAAATTTAGCTTATCTGTAGCTTAATTTGTAATTAAGCATATAAATAAAAATAAAAATAAAACTATTTATATATTTTTTATCTCCGAAAGCCTTGCACTTTGATCATAAAAATCAACATAATTAAGCCAAAAATAAATTAATTTCAATTCGGAAAGCTTTTCATTGCTAGTTTTTATTAGTTTTAACATCTGCATACTCAATTTAAAATTAAAAAAAATTTAGATTTTGGACAATTTTTACGATGTAACCCCTATCTTAAAAAAAAAAAAATTAAAAAAACTTGGAAACATTTTTTTTGATCGTACATGGCTAGATAGATTTAGCTGATAATGCTGATCAAGAATATATATGATTTATAGGGTCAGAAATGAATCCTTCACTGTGCTTCTGACTCATATTACCGCTTTTTGAATCGATATTTATCTATATTTTTATGAAAATTTTTTCTACAAATCCTATTTCAAATTCTCATAACTAAGCCAAAAAAAACATTAATTTCCAAACGGAAAGTTTTCCTGTGTTAGTTTTTATTAGTTTAATAAATCTGCATACTCAATATAAAATGATAAATTTTTGCCAATTTTTGATAATTTTAAAATTATATATTTTAACTCCTAAATTTTTCGAAAATTTTGAAAAAATTAAATTTTTGTCAAACATAGCTAGATCGACTCGGCTGTAGATGCTGATCAAGAATATATATAATTTATGTGGTCGAAAATGACCCCTTCACTGCGTTTTAAGCTTCTGAGTGAAATTAAATCTCTACAATACTTAGGCACGGCAAAGTTTGCAATTGAATCATTAAGAATCAATTAATTTCGGTCATATAAGAAGAAAAACTAAAATACCTAACATTCCTATTATATTACAAGTTTTACAATTACATTTACCGATAATTTTTATGTCAGTTATTTGATATAGTCTTCCAATCCGTTCAGTTCAGACTTATGTATGTATACACTAGTGAGAATATATAGAAGTTACTTATTTTTTTAATGTTTAGTTTATCTGACCCAGTTCAAAAATGAAATATAATTTAGCTGAAATTAAAATTCCCTTTGATATTTTCCTCACATTTACACAAATAAAATAATCTTCACAGTTAAAAGGGGATATTTAGATCTCTACTAATTGCAGTTTAAGGAATCGTAAGCGATTTTTTTATGGCCATCGATTTAATTTTAAATTCTCTTAAAATTACTTCACTATAGCCTATTGCCGCCATATAAATAATTGGTGGGGAAAGGCGAAGGCAAAGGGTATCATGAGTTTCGGTCCTTTTGTTTCTTGCGGCAATAAACACATGTATGTATTTAACAAGCAAGATGCGTGAAATTTAAAACACTTTCGGGTTATTAACATAAAGGGAGCAATAATAATAAGGTAACAGCGAACAAGGCTTAATGGACACACCAGCTGAGTTATTTGGCCATTTATATGTACATATATATGTAAACTCTTTGAAGCGTTAAATATTTGCTAGGCTCATTCGAAACAATAATCTAAATTACGACTTCAAAGACTTCCGATAATGTTTCAGGAAGGACGGTTTATAATATATTTAGGAAGGGTACTTGTATCTTTGATTTACATTAGTTAGAAGTGCGGACAGCAAATTATATGATTTAAAGAATTTAAAAGCTTCTTAAAATAATAAGAACATCAATAGATAGTTTCTTGATAATAGTTTTTTGGACCAACAATGGTTTGTATATCCATAAATAAATTATGTATAAAAAGGTCCATTTAAATTTTTATGCAGGGGAGAATTGCAGGACTGTATTAAAATATTCTTACTTATTTCCAAATACGTACATCAAAAATGGATTTATTGCAAATAAAATCTATATATTCTCCCATTATTCCTTTATTTAGCATTTTTAAACCTTTTCAGAAATCACAATATTTTAACATTAAAAGGGATACTTTTGGATATCAATAGTTTCATTTATGATTTTTGCACATTGACATAAAAAAAATTTTTGTGTTCATATGTCTAACGTTTGCAAATTTATAATTTATTGTATATAGAAATAGTTCATCTCGAAAAGTAATTCAAATTTCAAGTATACCTGCACCCTGCATTCCTTCACTCTTTCAAAACTCTCATTAGACGAAATATAAATCTTTATAGTGGTACCGCGACCCGTCGGAATATACAAAACTAGCAGTTTTACCTGATTTAATTATATTTGCTTTAGTCAAATTAGTGGAAACTGAAGATTAGCGGCAACATGAAAGGCGTTTAAAAATCTTTACTTTCAGCTCCAGCTGCGAGAAGAATTATGCTGTAATAATTAGTTACAAAACGTAACATGCTCAAATGTAATTAATGGTCTGTGTGTTCTGTCATTATTGTTTACGTAACTACTATTTACAGTCAATAGAAAATTATTTGAAAATCTTAAGTAAATAGTAAATAGTAATCACTGGAAATCATTCAAGAGTGGGAGGAAAATTTTAAGATGGGAATAGGAAATTTTGAAATAAATAAAATGTTTAAACTAAGATAAACTAAAATATTTAATTATCACTGGTTCGAAACTGTATGATTTAAATATATGTTATTTTATATAAATTATTCAAAATAGGTTTTAAGAATTTAAGAAAATAATCAACTAAATTTTTTAAAGCTCTTTTCTGATTGGGGATAAAAGTTCTTAAACGCTTTTGTTCATTTTTAAATTCGTAACAATATTTTGAGCTACCAGGAAAAAGGTAATGATCCAAGGGCGAGGTATTCTGTGGTCGAAACCTATGACTAAAGATTTATTTCTTGTATTTAGATAAGGAATATACATATGTATGTAAATATATATGCATTTTTTCAGCTACCGATTAGCTATTCCATATGCTTATTTATTTAGTATTCTTAATCCTTTTGGTACTTTAGAGCCAAATAAGACTCATTTGCATAATCGCTCAGGCTACTTAAAGATGTTTGGAAACCAAATAAAACAGATCGGTGGAGAGAATTAAATTACAGGCACGAAAAAGGGTCTCGTCTGTGTTGAAATCATAAAATTCGATACACTTAATTTGCTTGCAAGAATGCTTATATACAGTATGTAGTATGCATACACACAGGTATTGCCTGGCCTTAACTTGCCTCAAAAAAATGATCACAAACGTGTTTGCGTTAAAGGAACTTGCCGGGTAAGATAAATATGGTATGAAATCGCACATAAAAGAGTAATATATACAGGATGCAAGTAGGTTGATAGAGAAAATCTTGCTCTAACTCACCTGGTATTTATAGAATATTATTTAACCAGGTATCCAAAACCCATATGCTCACCACGGTCACTGGTGATTCCCGGGTTGGGTGCAGCAGTCAGTTGGAGAAAACTATCATACCCCACACGACAGGGTATGGAAAGGTATGCGGGCTTAGACAGTGGCTTTAAATTAT